GGAGCACTGGGTGTTATACACAAACAATGAATCATGGAACACTACATCAAAAACTAATGATGTAATATATGGTGATTAACATAACATAATAATAATAAAAAAATGAGTAACAAAATGGCAATGAGTACATACCTATCAATAATTACTGCAAATTTAAATGGACTAAATGCTCCAATCAAAAGACACAGGGTGACAGAATGGATAAAAAAGCAATACCCATCTATATGCTGCCTACAATAGACTCATTTCAGTCCTAGAGACACCTGCAGATTGAAAGTGAAGGGACTAGAAAAACATTTATCATGCAAATGGAAGTGAAAAGAAAGCCAGGGTAACAATTCTTATATTGAATGAAATGGACTTTTAAAACAAAGACTGTAACAAGAGACAAGGAGGACGCTATATAATCATAAAGGGGACAATCCAACAAGAAGATATAACAATTGTAAATATTTATGCACCCAACAACGGAGCATCCAGATACATAAAGCAGCTAATTAACATAAAGAAATAGTTAATACAATAATATTAAAGAACTTTCTCTCCCCACTTACATCAATGGACAGATTATCCAAATGGAAAATCAATAAGGAAATAGTGGCTTTGAATGACACATTGAACCAGATGATCTCACAGATCTATTCAGAACATTCCATCCTAAAACAGCAGAATACACATTGTTTTCAGGTGCACATGGAATATTCTCCAGAGTAGATCATATATTAGGCCACAAAATGAGTCTCAACAAATTCAAAGACTGAAGTCATACCAGGCATCTTTTCTGAGCACAGTGCTATGAAACTAAAAATTAACCACAGTAAAAAATCTGGAAAGAACACAAATATATGAAGGTTAAATACATTCTACTAAAAAAAAAAATGAATGGGTCAACCAGGAAATCAAAGAGGAAATTAAAAATATACATGGAGGCAAATGAAAATGAAAATATAACAGTCCCAAATCTTTGGGATGCGGCAAAAACTGTTATAAGAGCAAAGTTTATAGCAACAAAGGGCTACCTCAAGAAGAAAAATCTCCAACAACCTAACCCTTACACCTAAAAGGAACAAGAAAAAGAGGAACAAATCAAAAAACACTCGGGACGCCTGGGTGGCTCAGTCGGTGAAGCGTCTGCCTTCAGCTCAGGTCTTGATCTCAGGGTCCTGGCATCGAGCCCTGCATCGGGCTCCCTGCTCAGCAGGGAGTCTGCTTCTCCCTCTCCCTCTGCCCCTCCCCCCTGCTCATGCTGTCTCTCTCAGATAAACCCTAAAACAAAACAAAGAAATAGACTCTTAACTATGAAGAACACACTGCTGGTCACCAGCGGGGCAGGTGGCGGGGGGGGGGAAACAGGTGATGAGGGTGAAGAGGACACTTGGCCCGATGAGCACTGAGTAATGTACAAAACTGTGGAATCACTCTCCCACACCCCCCCAGCTAATCTCACACTGTATGTCAATTATACTGGAATAAAAATTAAAAAGACATGAATATGATAAAAAATCAAAAGAGTACAGTAAGATACAGTGATATAGGAAATGTGAAATTAAAGCCTCTTTCCCCGCCCACAAGACCCTCAAGTTTCCCTCATGTCAGGCAACCACTCTTAGGAGTTGCCCGTGCATTTTCTCCCAAAACTTTTGTTTGGGTATCTCGAATCTGAGGCACGTGTGTTTTTATAAGCACATATACGCGCACATAAGTATATAGGTTTTATTATCTTGAAAATGACATCGTTTTCTGAAACTTACAATTTAACAATATGTCTTAAATTTATCTAAGTGGAATTGCCAATAAATTCATACATACTCACACCACAAGTAGGTCAGTGGTAACGGAATATTTGACCAAGGCCCTGGAGAGCAAGCGAGCTGGGAACGGTAGCGCTTACCTGCCACAGCGTGGGTACTTGCATACTAAGGAAAGAGCCGTATATTTCCTCCAGTTCTTGGGTAAGGATGATCTCCCCTTTTATTGCAAGTTGAAGGTCTTTCAAAGACTTATGCACAACCAATAAGAACTTATCAAACCGTTCAATTTCTTGGCTCAGAAAGGATAGCAAGGCGCAATGGATGAGGGGATCATAGCCTTTAAACAGACAGAAAATGATGTTAGTTTTCAGGTAAAAGGAGGTTTATGTGGAGAAATATAGGCTCTGGAAATCAAAGGAACTTCATGTGTCCAGACCAGGGATTGAGACACCTTTTTTTTTTGTTGCAAAAACTCAGTGACTGGCGCAGGCTCTGGGGCCCTCCTGTGTCACGACCACTCAGCCCTGCTTTGGCCGTGTGAACATAGGCGCCCACACATGGAAATGAGTGAGCACACAGCCACATGCCAATGAAGATTTACTTGTGGGCACTCAAACTGGAATTTTACATGATACTTATGTGCTGAAAATATTCTTTCTTTCTTTCTTTCTTTCTTTTTTTTAACCAATAAAATCACGTAAAAACCATTTTTGCATTCAGGTTGATCGAGAAGGAATGGTAGCTGGATTTGGCCACAGCCCTCGTTGGCCGGCTGTGGTCCAGACTCAGCAACAGCACTGACCGCATAGACTACTGCTCAGCATTGGGTCCCCAGATGAACTTTCTTTCGAGGGTTAAGATACGAATGTTGACAACTTGACCGGGCCAGTTGCCCCCACCCCACACTTTGGCCCCCTGGAGCCTTGCTGCTCAGAGTCGAGGGCCCCTCCGAACCCCGCTGCTCCTGGCCCGCTTTGCCACAAGGATGACTCCCTCCCCTCTAGTCTTGGGGCCACCCCCCCCACCTCACCCCCTGCCAGCCTCAACAAAAACAGAAGCAAAGACAAAGCCACAGCATCGTTTTCTTGTCTGCTCTCCATCTCTCAGCTTGGACAGTCTGCTCTCCCGCTCGCTCAGGCTTTGTATTTCTGCGCTCCCTTTGGTGGGATCTCCACTCTTCCTTCCTCTTGCTGCCAGAGTCCTTCCCTGAGGCTGCCACTCATGTCCCCTGCTTACCTTGGATACCTTTACAAAGAGACTCCCAAATGGGGCTGGACATGATGTACTTCATGCTGGGAGTTCCAGAACATTCCTCCTTCTCCACAGACATTGGCAGCTGCTTTATCATGTCAGATAAAATTTCCATCACCAGTTCATCGTTACTGTGCTCATGACTGCAGAAAGAATTAGGAGGAGAATGACCTTCAGATCTGTTTGAACCGGGAGAGCCCTCCGATGGGTCCCGTCTGAGGGCCAACACAGCCTCCCAGAGCCACAGAGCTACGGGCAAGGACTATGGAGTTTGCTGCATTTCATAGATGAGGAAACTGCCCAATGCACTGCAGACATTTACAACAAAACATGATTTTTAGTTTTTTTTTTAAAGATTTTATTTATTTATGTGACAGAGAGACACAGCAAGAGAGGGAACACAAGCAGGGGGAGTGAGAGAGGGAGAAGCAGGCTTCCCGCGGAGCAGGGAGCCCGATGCGGGACTTGATCCCAGGACCCAGGGATCATGACCTGAGCCGAAAGCAGATGCCTAAAGACTGAGCCACCCAGGCGCCCCATATTTTTAAAGTTTTAAAACTTGTCAACTCTGCATCCTCTCAATGCACGGTGCGTGAAGTGCCACCAGCGTAATGAAGAAAAGCAGGCAACCTGACCGTGCATCCTTGTGTTAGGGGGACACAAACAGAGCCAGGAAACGCTGAAGCTGGAGCAGCTCTTTGAAACCGGGGCTCAGGATGGCGACCGCACCTCCCTACCGTGAGTGGAGAAGACAGACATGGTATGCACCTGCTTTGCGTCCCACTCAGTTACTCTGAATACCGGCAGGGACCGGCTTTCAGTAACAGCCCAGCTCACACACCCAAACGAGGGTCGTCCTGGAAGGTAAGTGATAGTCTGAAGCTACCGCTGCAGGTAATGCAGTAGGAAAACCTTAGTTTTTGACTTGAAAGTAGGGTTACTAGGTGGGATTCATCAGGATTCAAAAGATCAGACAATTTCAATAAGCAAACATCTCCAGAGGGGCCTATGGTGAGGTCACGGGGTAGTTATCCAGAGTGGGGGCCCCTGTGCACCAGAGGGGAGAACATGGAGGCCCCAAGTGGATCCGGTGTTCCCAGCTCTCCTGCAGGGCAAATGAAGCGTAATACCCAGTCTGTGAGTCTATGAGTCTGTTGGGGCACACGTCGTTGGAGCCCAGGGATGTGGGCAATGTGACCGTCACCTCACAGGTTTGGGAGTTGTTACTATCTTGGTGACAGCTCTAATCAGGGCTCAAGGCATCCTGTGAGTGTTGCCAATAAGAATCAATTCATGTTGTGGTTGACATTTCTGTTTTAGTTTATCGGCTTGGGTTTTTTCCAACCTTAAGCCCTGAGAAGGCAGACTCAACGCATCCTGCACAGTGATGCCCCTGGTCCCTGCTTAGCATCTCTCAACGTGGGGAAGACTTAGAAGCTGGTGTAGACAAGACTAACAGAAGCAAAATCACAGTAACAATAGTTTTGTGTTGGGGAATCTGTACATGTTGGTGTTTTAAATATTTGGGATAGTTAAAAGATTCGGGGCTGTTAAAACCTGAAGGTCAGCTTTGGGACTCCAACTTAAAACAGATAATTGAAAAATTGGTTTAAATTTATGATTTTAGGGGCGCCTGGGTGGCTCAGTTGGTTAAGCATCTGCCTTCGGCTCAGGTCATGATCCCAGGGTCCTGGGTTCGAGCCCCGCATCGGGCTCCCTGCTCAGCAGGGAGCCTGCTTCTCCCTCTGCTGCTCCCCCTGCTTGTGTTCCCTCTCTCTCAAATAAATAAATAAAAAATCTTAAAAAAAATAAATTTATGACTTTAGGTTGAAACCACCTAAGTTGATATATTTAAAAATATAAGAGGGGCACCTGGGTGGCTCAGTTGGTTAATCATCTGCCTCTGGCTCAGGTCACGATCTCCGGCTCCCTGCTCGCAGGGAATCTGCTTCCCCCTCTCCTCCCTGCTCATGCTCTCTCTTTCTCTCTCTCTCTCTCTCAAGTAAATAAATAAAAAAAGTAAGAGTTTAAGATCCAGAATATTTGTTTAATTATTAGATTTATGAGATTTATTGAAAGACTCGAGAGGGTTTGGCAGTCAGCTAGCTGAAGTACGTTAACTTTGTAATGAATGTTACCGTATCTGAAAGTGTTTAAGTTTGTAGATGGAACCAAACGCTATTCAAAGACCTTTTAAAAATGCTTGTTAAAATCCTAGACTTGCAAATTGAAACACTAGATTTTTAGGCTGAACTTACATAAGGAACTTGTATTCTGAGCACAGCCCTGCTAGGCACTATTATTATTTCTAATTTAAACATGATGAACCTGAGACAAAAGACTTAATTGGCACACCCAAGTTTGCAAAGTCAAGTGATGGTGCTGGGATTTGAACCCAGAGCCAGCCTATGTGTGCCGCCTGTGTCCCAAGCAGCTCTGAGTGAGCAGAGCAGGAACACACTTCTCTGGGGAGCTCTCCCCAGGTGGTCGTAGCCGTAACACATATGACCCTATCTTATAGTTACAGGCTGACGAGGCTGGAGAGTTTGGGGTACCTTTGTGAGACCATCTGAAGTTCACGATGGCCTTGATGGGTAGACAGGCGATGTGTCTCTGTACAGAGAAGCAGAGTGAGGGTGCCGGGGCGGTGTGACTAACAGAGTGTAAGCCACACAGGCCTCTAAGGCCTCTAAGTGCAGAGCACAGCCCCCTTGACCACACTGTCCTCCTACTTATTGTGATGGGGATCCTGCCCTGTCCTAGAGAAGTAAATGTGACATTTCACACTGAAACTAATTCAGTTTAAAAATGCCACTCACTAGGGAGAGTACCAGCACGCATTCCACAAACATTTACTGAGTACCCGCCATGTGCTTGGTAATTATATTTCTGTGTGCGTCTACTCACCTCTGTCATTTGGAGGATTTAGTCTCTATTTTTAGACTGTGTTTTAGGTTTTACACTATATTTTAGACTTCTTTATCCACAAGTTCAGCATTGTATCTCTTCAAATTATTAAATATTCATTTCCAACTAAACATTCTTAATGATTTAATGATTTCCAGCTAAACTTCATCCTCGCGGGTTCTTACCTGATCATGAGGTTTGCTGTGGTGGCTCTGGGTTGCAGGACGATGAGGCTGTCAATGAACTTCTGGCCCTGGATCTCCCTGCAGCCTCGTATGGCCTCGGGGTGCAGCCCTAAGAGCTCCGGAGGGTCGTCGTCAGGTAAGGACTGGATGATGTGTATGCACTCCCTGATGCTCACAGATTTGGGCACTGGCTGACGTCTCTGAAGAATTAACCTCGTCGTTAGTCTCTGCCCAGAGTGATACTTACGTTCCGTAATGCATGAAGACACTGCTGCCCATGAAATGTATACAGAAGGCCCTTCTTAGTTCTAGGTGCAGTTGTATCGATCTGCACAATAACTTTTTTTTTTTTAAAGATTTTATTTATTTGATAGAGAGAGACACAGCGAGAGAGGGAACACAAGCAGGGGGAGTGGAAGAGGGAGAAGCAGGCTTCCTGCCGAGCAGGGAGCCCGATGCGGGGCTCGATCCCAGGACCCTGGGATCATGACCTGAGCCGAAGGCAGTTGCTTAACCAACTGAGCCACCCAGGCGCCCCCACGATAACTTTCTTGTTGGGAAAAGAGAGACTTTAAAGGCTAGGCTGCTTCTCACTGCCCGCTGCCTCCCTGAGCCGTATCCACAGCGGACGCAGTCCGGCCTCCATACACCATTTCACTGTGGCAAGACTTATACAAGGAATGTGACGCTGAGCTGAAGAATCATTCTGCCCACTTGGGAGGTGGGGGGTGGGCAAAATGGGGGAGATGGACAGAAGGTGCAAAATTCTATAAAATAAATAATAAAAATTTTAAAAATTGACAAGCTCCTTAATGGGCACAGGACGGCTCTTTCATACCAGGCCACTGGCGGTATCTTGCTGCGCCTCGCTGTAACTGGTGCTGCTCAGTAAGGCTGACTCCCAGAGTCACATCTAACTGGGAGAAAATGGGCCTTCAAAACCCTACTTAGCGATGGGGACGAACGTAACTATCTTTGGCTTCTTGGACTCCATCCCTCTGAAACACAGAGCTGCCTTCTCCTCTCCTGGAACGGAGGCTGGACTGCGCGGCCGGCTTCTTCCGATAGAGCGCGGAGTGGAGGGGACCAGCTCGTACACGGTGCTGCAGCCTCGTTTCTCTTGGGTGGTTTGGTTGCTCTCGGGGTGGCCGGCTGCATGACCCCGATCCCCTGACATCCCCCATCGATGGTGGTCGGGAGCCACCCCTGCGCTGCCCCCCACCCCCCCGCCGGGGTCCTGCACATGGAGGCACTGAGGCTTCTGGCCATCAGTCCCATGAGTGGCCTTGGAAGTGGCTTCTCCCGCCCCAGTGAAGCCCTGTGACCGCAGCCCCAGCTGACATCTTGGGCATAACTCCCCGGGAACCCTGAGCCACCAGGACACAGCTGAGCTGCTGGGACACGTGATGGTTCACCTCTATTAGAGAGGATGACAAACTGGTTCCAGAAACTAACAGAGCGTAACAGTGAACGGTGTCAGCTTGGTGTGACAGGGACAGAGACAGTGGAAAGTGAAGAGGATGGCAGACTGCAGTTCAACTGCAGAAGGGAAGCTGCGGAAGAAACTGGTTAGCTATAAAAATGGGCCCCTTTCTATGGAACTGGAAGGATGGCACAGAGGGCAGAGCCAAAAGCCTGCAGCACGGGGACAGGGACCTCTGGGTGCTCCCAGAAAGTGAGACAGGATCCCAGGCCCAGAGCGGCCGACCTTCACCCAGTACAATCGCAGGATGTCTGGGGACTGGGGGCCACTGTGTGTCTTCCGTCTGGGTCTCTGCGAAGGGACAGGTCTACAGAAGCATAGGGGTTTGCACAGGGGAGGTGATGGAAGACGGGAAGGAGGATGTTGCCATTAGGGTGACCGCTGTCAATTGGGATGATTGAGGGAACAGAGGTCATATCCAGGTCTCCTCTGGCCTGGAGAGTACGGATGGATAGATGAAATGTTAACTGCTAGAGTAATGCTAAATTATGTCTGTAAGACTGGAAGTTCAGAGGGGCGCCTGGGTGGCTCAGTTGGTAAAGCGTCTGCTTTCGGCTCAGGTCATGATCCCAGGGTCCCGAGATCGAGTCCCACATCGGGCTCCCTGCTCAGCGGGGAGTCTGCTTCTCCCTCTCCCACTCCCCCTGCTCGTGCTCTCTCTCTCTCTCTCTCTCTGACAAATAAGTAAATAAAATCTTATAAAAAAACACTGGAAGTTAATAAAAGCCATTGAAAGGGAACATTAAAATTTCTTTAAACGCAGATTTTAAAGAATGCAACAACACTTAGTTAAGCGAGTGATGTAAGGAAATACATTTTCTTACTTCATCACTGGAGAAACTGAAGTCCTCTCTCAGCACTTCTGGATTACAAAATTTGTAGAGAAGGGTGTTTAAACATCGCCTGTCCCACGTGTCGGTCACCCGGCCACCGTAAACCACTTCCCCAATCAGGTAGCTCAGTGTCGGCCATGAAATACTGGACCGTGTGCTCAGGGCATTTTCCAAAATCTTGATGGAGACCTTTAGAAAATCCACCAGTTTTTATTATTTCAGAACGTGATTGCAGCTCACTGGGATGTTTTAACATAAAATCATCAATTCTCAAACAGACACAGATATTTTCTCTTTAAAAATACAGCTGACCCGTGAATAGCAATGTGTTTGAATTATGTGGGTCCCTGTATATGTGGGTTTTTTCACAGTCCTGTAAATGTATTTTCTGTTCCTTATGATTTTCTCAATAACATTTTCTTTTCTTGGGCTATTATAAGAACACAGTATATAATACATACAACATACAGAATACGTGTTAATTGATGTTATTGGTAAGGCTTCCGGTCAATAGTCCACTATTAGTTACGTTTGGGAGGAGTCAAAAGTTATATGTGGATTTTTAACCACACGGGGTCGGTGCCCCTGATCCCCGCATTTCAAGTGTCAATTGTATATGGAAATAGCAAGAGGAATAAAAATATTAGAAATACATTTTCATCCATTAATTCTTTTTTGTTGTTGGACAAACATTGAATTCTTGAATTACAATTGTTATTTTGAATAGACAAAGCCAGCTGGTGGCGCTAATTTCAGAGGCACATCAGGGTAAACAAGGAAATGTGAGTGTCCTCCTCACATCCCCTGCTCTCGCCATCAGACACCCCGTCCCCCGTGCCATAGCCCCCTCTGTGCCCCGTTTCTTGGGTCCCCTGTGCACAGACGTTCTCACAACTCCATGCAACGTAAGTGGACCCCATTCCTCCTTTCCACCCCCATGCCTCCCGCAACCAGCACTCTCCCTCCCTTTCATCTTGTTTCCCTTTCTTCCAAAAATGCTAGGCTAGCATACGCTTGCCCTGCAACTGGACAGTGGATCTCTTATATACAGTTTTCTTCTTATTCCCTATCATTAATATGAATGAATATGATTTTACATCGTTGATATGAATTATGTCCTCTGTGTCCTGCATTGACTAGAGCTTTTAAGGCAATGCTGAGTGTCAATGGTGAGAATGGGCATCCCTGCCTGATTTTTTTTTTTTTTTGATTCTGGATTTTAATAAAAACAACTTCAGTATTGGCTATTTAAAATGATATTTGCTGTAGTTTTTTGGTGGCCTTTTCCATATTTCAGTAGTCCCTTTTAATCCTATATTGTAGAATTCTTGTCAGCAATGGTGCCCACATTCATAATAAAAGCCTTTTCTGCATCTACTGATGTGATCATATAGAGTGAGTTATGGATTTCCAGATATTGAACCATTCTTGGAATAAATCCTACTTGGTTATAGAGTATTATTCTTTGGATTAATTGCTGAAGCCTATTAATAGGTTATATAGAATTTTTCCATCGAGTCCTAAGTAAAATTAGCTTATTTTCTTATGTATATTATTTTTATCAGGTATTCATATTAAAATTATGGTTTCATAAAATGAATTAGGGAGATTGCCATCTTTTTCTAAGGTTTAGAACAGCTTAAATAATATTAATATCTCTGTTTCTTAAAGTCCAGAGTAAACTAAGCCATGAAACCATTTCATTCTGCAGTCAAATGCTCTGCCACTGAGCTATACCCCCCAAACCATTTCATTCTGGTGTTATTTGCAATGTTTTATAGCAATTGATCTACTCAAAATTTCTATATCTTTTGGAGTCAATTTTGATAATTCATGTTTTCCCAGAAATCATTGGGTTCATATAGATTTTCAAACTTTATCTGTCTTATCAAAAACCAATTTTTGGATTTCTCCTTTCTATTTTTGTATATTATTTTATTACTATTAAAATTATATTCTTTATTTTAGTTCATATTATTTTTTCCTAATTTCTTAAGATGAATATTAATTTACTGCCTTTCTTAGTAATGAAGATATTTAAGACCATAGTTTATTTTTTCTGAGCATATTTTTGTACTGTTGTATCATTTTCAGTATGAAGGAATCTCATTTCCTTTGTGTTTGAGATATTTTGTGATTTTTCCTTTTAATATCCTCTTTGATAAAAGAATTATCTAGAGGTATGTTTCTTAATTTCCACCTTAAGATTTTTGGGGCCAAGTTTTTATTACTTATTAGATTGTGATCAGAGAACGTGGCCCATAATTATAGATTTTACTTTGTGGCCATGTTCGTGGTTGAGTTTTCTAAGAGTTCCTTAGATACATGAAAGAAATACGTACTGTCTACTAGAGGGATGTTAGGTTCTATACACCTCTGTACATCAAGTCTGTTGATGATATTATTAGTATCAGTCTTACTCTTGCTTATCAGAGCTCTCTAATTCTGAAAGAGGTTTCTGAAACTCCCCTGATTACCCAGGAATATGTGACATACATATGTATATGTATGTATGTGTCTGTGCGCACGCGCACGTGGGTGTACCGCAGGCCACTGTCCGAGGAATATCAATATCAAGACCACACAGTGTGAGTGAGGCCACCCATGTTTGAGTCCTGTCTGTTCCAGCAACTTCCTCAGCCTCTCTGTACTTCAATGGTAAAATGCAGATGATGCCACCCTCTTTATGCGGTTGATGTGAGGCTCAGGTTAATCAGTCCATAAACCACTTAAAACCATGCCTGAGGAGGCTCTCTATAATAAAAGTTAACTCTTTTCAAGAATGTTGTATCTTCACAAATTGCTTCTCTTTCTACTGTTCATGCTTTTTCAGATTAAATTCTATCTTGTCATATGAACATTGCCATTCCTGCTTTGTTGCTGTTTTTAGTTTCTTGGTCGTTTTAAGCTGTCTTCATTAATTTAAATGTTTTTCATACAAATTGCATGTGTCTCTTGATGAGGGAGTGCAGTCGGTTTACATTTCAAATAATGCCTGATAACGTTCCTTCCATAGGACTTTGCTATTTATTGTACTTGGTTGTTTCTCTCCCTTCTTCTTACTTTTGATAGTTTGAGCAGATTGCTATTTTCCTTTTTCTTTGCTAATTTAGACATCAGAGTGTTTCCATTATAGGTGACCTTTCCTTTCCTTGAATTCCTATTAAAATAACATTTCTTTTTTCAAATGGAAAGAAGACTTCAATGACTCCCCCCCCCCCCCGCCGGAAGCATCTATGTTCCCATTTCTTCCTCTGCCCTTCCACTGCTCGGTGCTTCTTCCTGTCCTCACAGGGACTCCTCCCTGCACCACAAGCCCCTCCTCCCCCACCTCTAGGTTCTGCTGAGACAGGTTAGTATTTTTAGCTTGAGGCGATCAGAGGAATTTTTCTTGTAGTATGAGTCTTCCTTTTAAGTAATCTGTATTTAGGGGCACCTGGGTGGCTCAGTGGGTTAAGCGTCTGCTTTCGGCTCAGGTCATGATCTCAGGGTCCTGGGATCGAGTCCCACATTGGGCTCCTGCTTGGCAGGGAGTGTGTCTCTCCCTCTACGCTCCCCATGCTTGTTCTCTCTTTCTCTCTCAAATAAATAAAATCTTTTTTAAAAAAATAAAAACTCCAAAATCTGGAAATAGGTAAAAGAGTGAGCACGTATCTTTTCCATGCCCTACTGAAACAGTGTCTGATGCGCTCTTTCAAGGGGATTATCGAATATTCCCGGAGCACCTACTTTTGTTTTGATGTGCTATCCGTCAGAGCACATGAAGTTCTGTCAGAGTAGTTGCTAACTTACAGAAAACCGAGAGTCTTGCATGTGATTCTGATGACAATGCAGATGAATTTTGTCCTAGAGAAATACAAATGCTGTCTGGCTCATAAAGCAACTTACAAACCAAAGGCACAATTTTATTGCCTGCAGGGCATTTATCAGTTTGGGATGTAACTTAGCAATCATATTTCATTACAATTTCTCTCAGTATTTACAAATAATTCTGCTCTCCTATATTTTTAAAAATCAGTTTTACCATCCTGCTGGTTCTTCTGTCAATAAGTTAAAAAAAAAAACTTGTGGTATGTGCGCACCTAAAAAAGTCATGCACATGAAACACGTATGTGCATGTGTACAGGTGTGAAATGTGTATTTCTTCACGGGCTCTGACAGTTTTCTGTTCCACTGCTTTTGTTCTTTCTCTCTCTGGCCACTGGATCTCATTAGATAGATTGTTTCTCTTGGTCTTGTCAATGGGGTTCAGGTCCCGGTTTTGGGGAAGCTTTCAGTGGCCGTAGCCCTGCGTGCGGTGGAGGGTCCACTAATTCTAAGCCCCGTGGGCTAGGACACAGCACTGGTCAGACCGCCAGTCCCCTGAGCAAACCCCAAGTTGCCCGACCACCAGCTGGCTGGCGGGGACTCCCCCAAGTGGGAGGAGCTGTGTCCAAACTCAACTTCCAGGGAACCAGCAGTGCCCACTTCGTTCCTGAGGGGGGCTGTGCATAGAGCCCATTCCGCACGAAGTTCCCAGCTGTAACCTCCAGACTGTCAGAAGCTTGGCTTTCTCTCCCACTGGCAAGGCTGCTCTCACATCTGCCACACAAAGAGGGGGAAGGCGGGAGGGGAAGGGTACCTCTCAGCGCCACGATGTCACTAGCTGCTTCCGGTCAGGCCTCTCTGCAAAATGCCAGAGGAAGGGCACCATCCGGTGACTTCCAGCCCGCACGGAGAGCTGCTGATGGTATTGGCCCAAGCTCTGCGCAGGACAAAGTGCCCCTGCTGACACGGGCCATCCCAGTCCTACCATTCATCCCCCCGGTAGAAGGTTTGGATGTATTTCTTTAAAAACCATCTGCAAGGGAAATGAGTTCTATATATACGCAGAAATGACATCATACATTCAGTCTCTGTTATAAGTAATTTCATTAAGCGAGCCTATAAATGTGAGCTATCTTTCTAAATCAATGATAATAGGCATTCTTTGCCTCCCAGAAAGTTAGTAACAATCGCAGCAGCATCAGGAGACAGCCCCCACTTTTCTGTATTGGTGCTGCTTTGTTTTAGCCACTGGGGGCAGGGGACGGTGAAAGGTACCATCTCATTTTAATGAGGTTTTAATGAGCATTACCTTGATTATTGTATTCGTCAGGCTTCTCCAGAGAACCATATATGTATACAGAGATTTACCATTCAGACGTGGCTTATGTAATGATGGAGGCTGACAAATGTCAAGACCTGCGTTTGGCAGCAGGAGACCCAGGGAGAGCGACGGCAGGCTCAAGACCCCGAAAGAGCCAATGTTCCAGTTCAAAGCATTCAGGCAGGAGGATTTCCTTTTAGTTCCGGTCAGTCCTTCAACTGATTGGATGAGGCCCACCACATTAGAGAGAGTCTACTGATTTGAATATGAATCTCACCCAGAAGCACCCTCACAGACATCCTCAAAATAATGCTTGAGCAAACACCTGGGGGTCTTGTGGCCCAGTCAAATTGATACATAAAATTAACATCGTAATTACTAATGAAATGGAATACATTTTCATAATCTTTTTGCCTTTTTGTATTTACACTGCAAAATGCCTAACCAGGTCCTTTGCCCATTGGGGTATTTATCTTTCTCTTATTAATTTATAAAAGATCTTCATATAATCAGCATATTAGCCATTGCAAAATATACACTACAGGTATTTTCCCCCAGTATATTATTAGCCTTTTGATTAAGCTTTGAGTGTGGTTTGGACAAATGTGCTTGAGCCCGTATTCCTTGGCGAACACCCGGAGCACGGCTGCTTCATGTCAGGCTCTGGCTGGGGGCACAAGCGTGCACTTGCACGTACGGGGACAGGCAGCTGAGTGTGCAGAGAGCTGGGAAGCCTCAGGAGGCCCTAGAAGGGAAGGGAAGGTGCCTGTCCAGGGTGGGTCAGAATCAAGATTTCGCTCAGAAAGTTTTTTGGTATCTGCTCTAACCCGGTGAAAATTTAAGCAGGTGTCACCACCTATTCACTTTAGGTGTGAAAAAAAAAAAACCACCCAGCACCGTCAAGCAAATAGAAGGTTCTAGATAGAGAATAGTAAAGAAAGACAGTAAGCTACATGTTTCCCCCTGCGGTGGGTCAGTACAAGCTCTTACTTTAAATAAATCCGGTAGAAATGGCAGACACATTTGCGGGGGTTTCTGTGTGTCAGGCACTGTCCTGAAAGCCTAGCCTATGTTAACCAGTCGGCTTCTTATAAAACTCTTTCAAGTAGGTACTGGTGTCCACCCTCCCTTCCCCCATCCTGCTTTTTTTCTTTTTTGGCCAAGGGAACAAAGAGCCCAAGAGCTCGTTAGCTTGCCCACCGGATTAAATGCTTGTACATCCGTAGGTGGGGGGCTGTGATCTGTTTCCAGAAAAGCTGGCTTCCAGGTTCATGGTTCTCTGCATTAGCCCTTGTTACAGGTCAGAGTTCATTTTCCAGAAACAGGAAGATACTTAGTATCTGTGTGGACAGACACTAGGCAGTTAGTATCCAATTGTGATTTATTCGTTAGTGTTTATTTGGAAGATATGACACTTACCCCCAGGTCCGAAGCACTAAATTTATAAGCAATATTCCAGCCCAGTATGCCGTAATTTTTTCTTTCATTGATCACAGCATTGAAAAAACATAAACTGAATAAAAGTTTTTTCCACGAGGGTCCACAGTCAGGTTTTTCAAGTATCTCTTCTGTTACCTCTCCGCTCCCACCACATCCAAAGGTCTGTAGTAAGTTACTTTTCAGTTCCTGGGGATTTTCCACTGCGATCTTTAAAACAGAGAAGAGTAATGACAGCAGGTGAGTGGAGGCACTGACCAAGGGGACGCTTGCTCAGAGAGCGGGCCAAGAGTGTAACTGTTTGCAAGAGTCAGTGGCAAGTAAGAACTCTTGTGTTATTCTTTTTTCATTTGAAAATTTCTGTTAAAGGATTGTACCTGATTTCCTACTGTTCCAATTCAGATCTTAAAATGAAAGGTTAACACTGTCATTAAAAGCACTTCTGTTTGCTTGAAGTCTAGCATTCTGGAAGCACAGCATTCTGTAAAGTTTGACAGTGAAGAGCTACTGTCACCAAAACTCTCAGTGGTGGCCACGCGGCCTCAGCGAGGCGGCAGATGGGGGGTTGGGGGGGCTGGGGGTGCCCAAGCAAAGGAGACAGTGAACCAATGGAGCCAACAGAACCATCTCATCAGCACTGACATTAAAAAGGAGAACAATGAACTTGGTGTACTACCCAGCTGTTTAGCTTCCATTAAAATTCCCTTTGCTTGACTTCCTAACTAGGAGACTTGCAGTGAGGAGGGGCAGAGGTGAAGTGGGGAGAGACTCAGCTGGAGGGGGCTTTTTAAAGAGCATGGCCGTTAACTCCCAAACTGTACAAGGTTTGAAATGTTCCCTTCCTTGCACATTTTACACATATACACACACAGACACACACAGACAGACACACGTATTCATGTATAAACACCGTGTGGATGTGCAGATCTGTGTGGGTCTATATATATGACACATGGATGTGTGTGTACATGAACCGATGTTTCTGGATCAAGGATCAGAGCTCACGGTGCTCCCCCATGCTCTGATCCCCACGGGGTGGCGGGGGGGCAGATGCACCCTGAGCGTGTGTATAGCAGGGATGAAACTTGGTGCTTATATAGAACGGCTTACAGAGCAGCCCCTCCTTCCAGAGATAGAGACAGAGAGACGGAGAGATGTTTGCTCTGGAACGCAAAGAGATTCTGGGGAGAGAGGAGGAGGTAGCTGGGTTTTCACAGTCCCTGGAGTGTTAAGCAAATGGCTATGAGTCTTATCAGCCTGAGAACTTGGACACGTAGCTGTGAGAAGCTCCTAGTAGAGCAGACGTTCTCTTCCTTCCAAGGCATGTTTACCTTTCAATATCCGTTAATGCGGATTGTGTGCAACGTTTGCTGAGAAAGCCCTGACTGCACACATGAGAAAGTGTTCGCAGAGTGGCATGCCCTGAGGCTCAGGGCTGACTCTTTGGAGACTCCTGCTTGTGTCTCCAAAAGTAAAAATCTGCGCAGCCCCATGAGGAACGACATATGAAGGGGGGAGGCAGGAGGGGAGCTGGGCAGTGGGAGAGGGGGGAGGGAGAGAGAGACAGAGAGAAAATGTTATCTTGGGGAAGAAAGTTGTTCATATCTGAACTGAAGCTGTATTTTGCTAATTAGAGCAATGGACCGGATTGAGGTGAAACGTCTCTGGAAGTTCTATGTCTGTCCCTCCCTGCCAGCCTTCGGTCCCCTGTCCCCAACACCTGCTTTCAACCTGCTTCCTGCCAGAGCCTTTCCAGAGATTGCGCTGTGGGATGGTTGGGGAGCAGAGACAGGGAAAGGCCGGAGAAGAAGAGTGAGAGAAGGACAGAGATACTGCGTTCCGGTTACACCTGCGGGCCGTCTCAGCATCCTGCGTTCCGGTTACACCTGCGGGCCGTCACGGGCCGTCTCAGCATCCTGCGTTCCGGTTACACCTGCGGGCCGTCACGGGCCGTCTCAGCATCCTGCGTTCCAGTTACACCTGCGGGCCGTCACGGGCCGTCTCAGCATCCTGCGTTCCGGTTACACCTGCGGGCCGTCACGGGCCGTCTCAGCATCCTGCGTTCCGGTTACACCTGCGGGCCGTCACGGGCCGTCTCAGCATCCTGCGTTCCAGTTACAACTGCGGGCAGTCTCAGCATCCTGCGTTCCGGTTACACCTGCGGGCCGTCACGGGCCATCTCAGCATCCTGCGTTCCAGTTACACCTGCGGGCCGTCTCAGCATCCTGCGTTCCGGTTACACCTGCGGGCCGTCTCAGCATCCTGCGTTCCGGTTACACCTGCGGGCCGTCACAGGCCGTCTCAGCATCCTGCGTTCCGGTTACACCTGCGGGCCGTCTCAGCATCCTGCGTTCCAGTTACAACTGCGGGCAGTCTAAGCATCCTGGTTGGACAAACGTCCATCAAGCAGTGAATCATTTGAAAGAAGGGAGCTCATCTACTGTCTTAGGGTCCTTCCTGGCCCACTGTGCACGGCGAGCACAGAGTAGGTCAGCATGCTAGAGTCAGGAATCCCTTTGCAATTCGGAATTATGAATGCAAGATACTTTACACTCAAACCGTGCTCCTCAGGCATCATCAAAATCTGTTCTCCTCTGTCCTTACCTTCAAACTCTTCTGAAGAATTGGAATTGGGAAAGAACTGTCCAATTTTGAGCTTAGCCACAGCCTAAAGTCAGGGTCTATTGTCACATCTGGGCTATTACATCTGCAAAATACAAAATTTATAAATATTTTAGTGTAAAAAATTTTTTTAAAGATTTTATTTATTTATTTGAGAGAGAGACACAGCAAGAGAGGGAACACAAGCAGGGGGAGTGGGAGAGGGACAAGCAGGCTTCCCGCTGAGCAGGGAGCCCGACGTGGGGCTCTATCCCAGGACCCTGGGATCATGATCTTAGCTGAAGGCAGACACTTCACCGACAGAGCCGCCCAGGCGCCCCTAGTGTAAAAAATTTAAGCCAAACCAACATGTTTTAGGAATCACAGAGTCTCAATGTCTGAAGTGACCTAGAGCCCATTGCAGTAATTATCTACAGGCCCTATTAGTCCACCGTGGCCTTTCATGGTGTACAGATATTTGCGCAAGACCCAGTAATTCCCAGTTTTGAAAAGTCGTTTTTCCACCTATAAACACAAAAGCGATACACGCTCATTGCAAAAAACCTTGGAAAAATGACAAAATAAGAACAAAATGATGTGTTCCACGGGTCAAATCTGAATCAACTGAACATGAAAATAAATGACGGTGATAACAGACAATATGCCATGGAATAAAACAGGAACCCATGACTGATATAAACAGAGCAATGAATAAACGGGGGTGGGGGGAAGCCTCTTCCTCAGGGTAGAACATCATTTGGTCAATTTAGAAGGAACTGTGGAGTTAGAAAGTCACCATTTGGCAAATAATAGAGTCCTAATTGAGTCAAACATTCTCAGTGGTTGTTAAGACCAGTGGGTGAAACGCTGAGATGTTGACATGGTCTGAAAACCCTACAGGTGGTGGATGCCACTTTGGTCAAATGGAATGGGACAGATGGACATTGTGTGCCTCTGGGTATGTGCAGCAAGGAGGACACATCTTTTTGGTGGCAATCCTGCCACGCTGCCTCACCATCATCTAACCACGGGAAAACAGTGGACAAACCCAAACGGGTGGACATTTGGCAAAGTAACCGGCTCTTGCTTTTCAAAAATGTCCAAGTTATGAAAGACAAAGACTGAGGAATAATTCTAAAATACAGAGGATTTAAGAGACTCGACAACTGAATGCTACGAGAAGTCCTGAATGAGAACTTGGACCAGAACTTTGTCTTTCTTTTTCTGCAGTAAAAGTTATTATTGGGCCAGCAGGCTAGATATGCTAAGGTCCTGGGGGTTAGATAATCAATAAGCATGCTGAAGTATGTAGGGGTCAAGTGGCATCATGTCGGCAACTTACTTTCAGTGATTCAGAAAGTGGCATACATACGTACAAACAGGAAGACAGGACATGCCAATGTTAACAGCTGGGAAAGAGAGGTGAAGTGCGTGGGAGAGCCTCTGCTATTCTTGCAGCTTTTCTTCATGTCTGAAATTATTTTTGTAAAATGTGCAAAACAACAAAAGCAAAAAAAAACTCCAAAAAACAAAAACAAACCAACACAACAACAAAAAAACAAATACAGAATTAAACAGAAAAACAAAATAATCCAAAATCCTACTAACTAGGTGTAAGTATATTTTTTTTTCCTTTTCTCTCTTCCCTCTTTTTGAAAAAAGATTTATTTATTTATTTGAGAGAGAGAGAGACAGAACGAGTGGGGGAGGGGCAAAGGGAGAGGGAGAATCTCGAGCTGACTCCATGCCCAGAGTGGAGCCCGACAGGGGGCTCGATCGCATGACCCTGAGATCACGACCTGAGCAAAAATCACTAGTTGGATGCTCAACTGACGGAGCCCCCCAGGCGCCCCCTCTCTCTTTTTCTTTTTTCTTTTTTTTTAAAGATTTTATTTATTTATTTGAGAGAGAGAGAATGAGAGATAGAGAGCACAAGAGGGAAGAGGGTCAGAGGGAGAAGCAGACTCCCCGCTGAGCAGGGAGCCCGATGTGGGACTCGATCCCAGGACTCCAAGATCATGACCTGAGCTGAAGGCAGTCACTTAACCAACTGAGCCACCCAGGCGCCCTCTCTTTCTCTTTAAATAAAAATATTATGCTGTACGTGCTGTTGGTAGCCTGTTTTCCCTCTTAGCAATATGCTGTGAACATGTTTCCTAACTTCCTTAACTCTTAAACGTAAGAAATTTGCTCCACATTTCTCTCTCCCACAGTAGGCTGCTGGGTGATAGTCTTAAACACTTACAGGATTGATTTGATAAAGAAGTATGAATTTCTCTTAATTATACTCTGATTACATAGAACACTTTTTTTTACACGTTGTTAATTACTCTAAGTCTCTGAAATTCTGTTCTGCAGAACTTTCCTTCAATTTCTTTTTTTAGAATGATACATCGCTATCTGCCATTCTATTGTCGCTCTCTATCTTAATACCCGCTGGGAGGCTGATACAATGTCCGTCTGGTCCATACAGTGTCCTGAGTCTCTAGAATGACTCTTGGCAAATCAGCAGGTGCCCTAGAAATAGTTTTTGAATGAACAATGACTGAAGGACCTGGAAGACATTATGGTGTCATCTTCCAAAGTTTACAACTATCGAAATCATACAACTATGCAAACTTCATCTTCTAGCTCTCTTCAGTGATGAAGTAAATGTGAAAAAGAAATTATCAAATCCTTTTTAAACTGCTAAAAGCCATAGGGGTCTGAGAACAGAATGAATGATGCTAATGAAGTTTTTAGAACTTTAAGTCAGGGCAGTTGCATTTTGGTTTAGTTTCCTTGTGGACGCTCACGACATACAAATAGCACAAAGCCGACGCGGCCCTTACTTGAGCACACATGCGAAGGCCAGCACCGGCTGTAGCCAGGAAAGCAACAGAAAGGCAAAGCTGGAGAAAAAACTCCAGAACACAACCGGTTACAACTTTACTAACTTAAAACGTTGCTGGGGCGCCTGGGGGGCTCAGTTGGTTGAGCGTCAGTCTCTTGGTTTCGGCTCAGGTCATGATCTCGAGGTCGTGAGATGGAGCCCTGCTTGAGACTCTCTCCCCTCCCTCCCCCTCCATCCGTGCCCCTCCCCCTCTCGTGCATGCTCACTCTGAAATAAATAAATAAAATCTTAAAAAAATAAATAAAACATTGTTAATTCTTCACTCAAAGTTACAGCAATCGACTTGCAACCACTTCCACTGCCAACAAGAAGGCTGAGCCTCTGGAAGTTTCCGCCTGAGTGAGCAAGTCTGGGAGAGGCAGCCCGAGAAAGAGCAAGTATGAACTATAGGCCGTGAAATAAATCACCACTGGAAGGAGGGATGTGAGCTACTACATTCTGCTGTTTGGAATCATGGAGCATATTAAAAACTATGGTTTAGATCCACAGGGCCGGACGGATGTGAGGCTGTGGCGGGTTCATCTGCGGAGCAGGAGGGCTTGAAAAGCAGAGGACGGAAGTGATGAAGGCCATGGAGAGTAAAGACCAGAGAGGCTTTTTTCCCTAAAAAACCAAGGTATTTCCTAGTGCAGTTTTAAGGATCCTGGAGAAAAGAGAACCCGCACAAGAAAGCCTAACATCCCCTGAGCGGTCAGCGCATTACTTTCTCATCGCTTAAACATGGCCGTTCAGTCTCACCTCACTGGTCTGCTCACTAATCTGATCCCTTACAAATCACGTAAAGCTCTTACGACTCGATGATTGTGCACAGTCTCGGCATAAACGACGCTGCAAGGTGACAGTTCTGCAGGAAGACCCACTGTGCGGTCCTGGGGAGGGCCTTCATGATGAGCTCCTCTGCCTTGGCAGCCTGGCCGCGACCCAGGGAAATAATGGTCACGTGACTTGTTCCTCCTTTTAACTCCTGTGCCAATTTCAGGACAGTGTTGGTGAGGTCAGTCCCTGCACAGAAACGTGGAAACGTTCACACAATTATAACCTCATTTCATTCCCTCCAGAAAACATATTGCTTGCTTGCTTGATTGATTGAGTGTAGGCTCCACACCCAGTGTGAAGCCCAGGGCGGGGCTTGAACCCACAACCCTGAGATCAAGACCTGAGCTGAGGTGAAGATCAAGATCTGTTAACATGTTTAATACTTCCTTTCTTCTGTTCTATTGTTTAGAGCGTGGACGTGAGGGCTAGAGCCCTGGCAGCCATTCTGGGCTATGTCTTCAGGAGATGGATAGCAGCTACTAAGAGTGTGTCAGGTGAAGGACAGCCGCTTTACATAAAGGTTACAGAGGAGGAAGCGTCCATGTGCATGCACTTTCAGAAAGTTTTTTTGCCCAATAGAATCAAAGTCTGAATATGGTGAATTCTGAAGACATATTTGATTTAGAGATGACAAAGAACAGAAGATAAGTGAAAATATTTTGCTTAGGGTCTGTGGGGCAAAGACAAGGGGAAAAAGCATTTGGAGTTTTGAGGTACACAACGGCTGGGTTGGCAGGGCCACCTTGTGTTGGTTTGTTATGTATTATCTTTTCATGAGCCAATGGATTAAAACAGTTAAACAAATACAAGGGCCATCCCAACTTTCAGATCAGTAATATGTGTTTAGGAGATATTTTCCGCACAGAAAATTAGCATGGGTAAGTTTTTCCATGGTTATGAACCTGGAAAATTTTATTCTTCTTTGTTCTTTTACATTTTTAGAAATAGTCAGTCTTAATATAGTTTAAATAGTCCCTTTTCCAAAATACTTAACTAAGAATAGGGAAATATTTTAAACATAAAAACACCCGACCCAGAATCTACTTGTCTACACCTTTCTCGGAGTATGGAGGTGGCATCTTACCATGGGAGTGAATAAGTATTATTGGAGTTCTGGCATCGGATTCCTTATATGACTCTCTCAAATTAATTCCAGTTCTGAGAACATATTCACTTCCCATTTTTTCAGTTATAAACCTTTTCACTGAATTCTTCAAATGTTCTGGTTGAAGAATTTTTATCTAAACAAGAAAGCACAGAAGAGAAGGTAACGTTAAACCCCCCCCAAGGGAATGGTCCCTATGGCAAATGGAACAAAGCAAGGAAGTGTTCATTATCCATGTGGGCAGAGTTTGATGGAGCTCCTCATGCTGGGCACGTGTAATGGAGAGAGTCCACACGTGGCAGAGAAGCCACCACCCTGGCTTGTGGTCCCTCCTTGGAGCCAGGGCCACCCTGTGCCTCCGTCCCTCTCACACTCCAACAGAGATCTTGCCTTGGATGTAAAAATCCCAGTTATGGCCCCTGATGCTACAAAGAGAAATTCCCCGTGGGCTTCCTCCTGCTCTGCTGGACGTGTCTGGAGCAGGATGAAAATCAGGACGGCACACCTGAAAGGCGACTAACTCCTCCAGGAGTTACACGAAGATAAACAGCACTGCAAACGGAGTGAGGATCCAGAAAGAACCCTAGGGCTGAACGAGTTTGGAAACCATGTACATGTGGTAAGTAGAGGCTCAGGGTCCACTGGAAGAAATCACTGCAAATCTTGGAGGAAAGACCTGTTCCATGAAAACTGTTTCATACAAACTACTTACGTGCTGTTTATAAAATGACCATGAATTTTGTCCTCAGCCTCAGAGGCTCCATCATTTAAGGCAAGGCTGAAATGGTGTGTGGATCTGTGTGGATGCCCTAGGTTGAACCATGGGAAACTACCATTTTTACGGGTCGAAAACTGCCAAGTATTGGCAATTTCACTGTTTAACATAATACATGTGATCATTATGTCAAATTCTGCTCTTTTCTCTTACACCTTGGAAAAATGAATCTTGATTTTCTTTGACTTAAATGACTTAGATGAAAATTGGCAGCACACAAAGCATCTGGGGTCTAAGAGCAGAGCTCGCCCAGTGCGTCCACTTCATGAAAGTGCTAGAATCTGCAGAAGGCAATGGATGGTCTGGTGTGGTCACGGTGCCCTGAGAGTCTGTGCTCCCAGACGTGGGCGTGACCGGCTGTCACCATCATGCGGCTCCTCCCTCACTTTATTGACCAATGGAGCGCAGCGGTAAGTTTTAACACTGGAGGGGGTGGGGGAGAGAAAGCAGGACCAGAAGGAATGGGGTTGTGCTGAGTTCGGTTCAGCCAGGTGCTTTCTAAGCAGCTACAGATAGTTCTGGAAATTGTCCTCACGTGCCCTTCCCCCCACATCTTCCCGCGGAGCTGTAGCGATGGGGAGCGGTGCGTGGACTAGACCGAGTCTTTGCCCTCACAGAGCTCTGTGCTTTCATCCTGCCCCAGGTGGAGCCTTTCCAACACGTTCTAACTGAATCTCTCTTGTGGCAATCTCAGTGTCCGACTCTTATGGGCCAGACCCAGTTTCAAATATTCTAACTCAATATCTTTGTCATGTGCACTTGACCTTTTATCAGACCATGTCTTCTGACAGTGGGGTTTGGAAAACAGGATCGCTCCACTCATGAAGTGTCTAGCTGACAAACTAGAATCATCTGGAGCTTATTGGGGAAGGTAAGACAGCACAGGCTTTAAAAAGTTAATTTTGCTGTTAGGATAACACACTCTGGCTACGTAAAATTCAAATAATACAAAGAACTAGAAATTGGAAAATGGAGGTCCTGTTTTCTGGAAAACCACTCTTATTTCTTGCGCATATACGAGCGTCACCCCGTCTACTCTCCCGTTTTCCCTGGCTGGACCTGTGCTACACAGACTGTGACGTGTTTATAGGGTTTGTCAGTTAAGACAGCTGAAACGTATGCTCCTGTCATGACGAGGCCAATAAACCGCAGGGAGAGAGAGGGTCGCAGGCTGTTTACACTGCCAGGTGGGCAACATGAATTAGAGAAGCAGGCTGGACAGAATGAAAACAATTCTCCCCAGAAGAAAAACAAAGCTGGAACTATGGTGCTTGCTGGCGGCTAACGGTCGCTGTCGCTGTGAGGAAGTGATCACCAGTGGTGACGGACGACGAACCGTGGCTCACGACCGTGGCTCGCGACCATGGCGCAGCAGTCCTCGGGGCCGGCGCTGCTCAGCTCCAGCTCTTCCTGCTGCCTGCAGACCCAACATTGCCTGATCTTTTACTTTTTCAATAAAAACTGGAAATATGGATTTTTTGGTGAAATCTCTCAATTTGCAAATTTTGGCCTAAAGAAAAGAACAACACAAACCAAACGTGGACACCCTTGTCTGCAGTGGTGTTATTCACGACAGCCCAGGGGAAGGAGGAACCCGTGTGCACGGACAGATGGACAGAGGAAGAAGATGTCCTCAGCCTTGAGCAGGAAGGGGACTCTGACACCTGCTGCCACACGGATGAGCTCCGAACACCCTATGCCAGCCACGAAAAGATAAATGTTGCATGATTCCACTGCCATGAGGTCCCTGGGATCAGCGCCTGGAGACAGAAAGTAGGACAGTATCTGCCAGCGTCTAGTGGGAGGAAGGAATGGGGAGTTATCGGTTCGCGGGTGCGGAGCTTCTGTTTGGGAGGATAAGAAAGTTCTGGAAATAGAGGTGGTGGTTGCACAACACTGGGAATGTATTTCATGCCACTGAATCTCTCACTTAGAATTCAAAGGGTTTATTAGGATCAAATGAAATTATATTTTGCCACAGTAAAACAAATAGAAGACAACTCACTTCAAGATAGAAGTGTACACAGAGTTTTTAAGTCGTGTGTGATGTCTTCGTTCTCTTTACTTGAAGACTCTGAAGTCTCGTAAGACAGATCTCCAGAGGTTCAAACCCATTTGGTGACAAATTACACTTAAATCATTGCAGAAACAAAACAAAGTGAAATGTCTGTAAGCCAGATGCAATTTTGGGGGGCAACCTCTCTCTGGAGTGAATTTTAAAGTGTTACAAAAATAAAATTTAAGGCAGAAATCGAAGGGTGACCGGCTGTCCGGGCTGGCGTCTGCACGAAGTCAGGGCCCATAGGGGAGAGAGAGGAGGAGTTTCTCCATCCCTAAGCTAGATGGCAGATGCGGAAACAAAAAGAAGCTTTGCAGGTCATGAGGATGAACCGAGGACCAGGACGGTCTCCCTGGGAAAAGTGGTGTTACTGCCGGGAACCAGGTTTTACAAACACCCTGGGTTTCAATCCTGGCTCTGTTAGTGGTCTCATCTTGTCTTTTTTTTCTTTTCTTTTCTTTCTCTCTCTTTCTCCCCACCTCCTTCCTTCTATCTTTTCTTTCCTTTTTTCCCCTTTCTTTTCTCCTTTCTCCTTTCTTCTTTTCTTTCTTTCTTTCAGATTTATTTATTTATTTGAGAGAGAGAACAAGCAGGGAGGAGGGGCAGAGGGGAGGGAGCAGAAAGCCCGATGCGGGACTCGATCCCAGGACCCTGGGATCATGACCTGAGCTGAAGGCAGACACTTCACCGACTGAGACCCCAGGTGTCACAGCCATTAGGCAATTTCTAAGCCTTGGCCCCCTAATTCTGTGATGTGGGGGAAATAATCATAGCTCCCCCCCAAGATTATTATGAGGATTACATGAAACAATGTCTGCAAAATGCTTAGCACACCCTAAGCTTTAGCTGTTTTAAGGGGCTCATGACTGACACCCATTTGCATCCCCAACACCCCCCGCCCCGTGATTGTGAAGCAGGAGGAGTCAGGTAAAATATCACCTTTATTAACAGTGGCAGGATGGACGTGCTTCCTGACACGGAGCCCTCACAGGCTGGGTCCGTGCCTAGACCGCTGATGGTGCGGAGAGCAGAGCGCAGTGTACAGTCTGCAGGAGGTGGACCCGAAGGGACGGGGTGAAGGTGCTGAACCACCACTCTCCATCCCTCACAGGCACCCATTTTCCAGGTCCTCCTCTCTGGGGGGGGTGCACGGGGGCAGAGGGGGCCAGGAGTGCCACCCAATCGGAGTGTGAGTGCACCCCTCTAACATGAACGATACTTGAAAAATCCATACATTTTGCTAAGAAAATTTTAAACTTGAATGGTTTAACTTACAGATAAAGTGCTTAAAACATGCAGAATATCACTGTTTTCTCATAGCACATCTTACCAAAATAAGTCTCTGAAATGCACTGAGTTTCTCCCAGGGGAAATTCACAGGACTACGTACTTCTTCCTTTTCATCCAGAAGTTCAGCTAGATATAATATAGAGAAAGAAATGGACGTGAACAATCAAGTGCCTTGGATCACTAAGAAACACACAATGAAAATTCTCTTATAAAACTCTAAAGTTTGTTTTAAAAACATGTCTAACTTATTTTTTATTTTTTTTTAAATTTATTTACTTTAGAGAGAGAGAGAACATGCACATGTGCGCAGGTTGGGAGTGGTGCAGGGTGCAGGGGGGTAGAGAGAATCCCAAGCAGCCTCCCCACTGAGCACCAGATGCGGGGCTTGATCCCACAACCCTGAGATCATGACCTGAACCAAAATCAAGAGTCGGATGCTCAACTGACAGGAGAAGCAGGGGCAGGCCAACATTTTACAACCTGCTCCTGCATGTGTGAGGTTTTTCCAGTGAGTATAAACTAATAACTCTAGAGGTTAGAAAGTTCTCGTCATAATCTACCTATGAAGATATTGCAAATGAGAATCAGGTGGAAATGCAACAAGACTCTCAAATTTTTGAAAATTGAATATTATACAGATCTGTGTTTTTAATACTGCCCCTCTGCAGTAGAGTCTGCAGCAGAGTCGTACGTGTGCATTTCCAACTACCCTGGTGTACCTATCATTCCTGCCTCCTACTATTTCCATGTATTTTCCCCGTGTCTAAATTTAAACACAACGTGGATTACAGAGATAGTTTTTTTGAATAGGGCTAAAATGGGTGTGTTGATCTTAAAAAAAAAAAGTCCACGATACATGAAAATCTAGTTACAAATTGATAAATCTGATTTCCCCCCCCAAATAAAAAGATCTTCACTTTACAAAATAATGACCTAGAGAGAAAACTCTAGCGGAAGAGGAGAACTTCTTAGTCAGAACTGGAAATCAGGAAGCTATAAAAGAAAGAAAGTAGATGTAATTGGCCATACAGACATTTCCCCATTGCCTGGTAGAGACAGTATAAACAAATCCAAAAGTCACTGGCCGATTTTTAAAAATACTTGAATGAACAGGTTGGTATCTTTAACAAAACAAAAAGTTGATTACCTGTTACGCCAATAGGGTTCTTACAGAAGGCCACAAAAGAATGAATAATTCAGTAGAAAAATGGGCCAAGTACATGAACAGGTAAGTCCAAATGCTCTACAAACATCTGAAAAGGTACTTAAACATGGTGCTAGTCAGGAAATCCAAATTAAAGTACCTTAAATTTTCCAGATCGGCAAGAGTTAAGAAAAGATCAATACTCCTCTTGGAAAAGGAGAAGTCATGTATTGCTGCTGGAAATGTAAATTATCCCGGACTTTTAAGATGAGCAACCTGGCAGCAACAGTTCACATAAAAATCGTATGCTTTTGACCCAGCAGTTCCGTTTCTGGCTGCCCATCCCAGAGACAAGAGCAGAGGAAATGGGTGTAAGGATGTGTCTGTTACTGCAAAACATGATCCTATGTTTGGGCAGAAGCTCGCAGCAGAGCTACATTACTGCTGGGATACTGAGCTACGTCAGTAAGTTGACCATCCCCACGCACATCGGTTAGGTTAAATAAAACATCGAATGCTCTTACTTTCCTTCGGTGATCTCTTACTCTCCTCCACTGAGGCATTTTCTGGAGAGAAAGGGGCACTCATCAGGCAATAGGAAGCCTGGCTGGTTTTGAAAGCTTCCCACTGGGGCACGTTGGACAGCAGGGATTTGCACAGGAGAGAGAAGGGCTCGAGCTCACTGCTGACATACTGGCATTGTCTCCACTGGGATTCCGACACCCATTGCAGATGCCCACCTCTGCATGTCTCATACATGCCTACCGAAAGAGGGAGAGGGACAATACCCTTTACCTTTGAGTTACTCATTAAAGGCAGACATTCAATATTATTGTTGAGGAAAAGCCGTTTTACATAAAACTAATTACATAAACGGCAAGTTTTTCATAGTGGTAAAAACACCTTTGCCTTCTGAACTATTTGTACGTGTTCATCCATGTTAAGTACCTTCCTGTTGTGAAAAGGATCTCCAGACCTTTCCCTGCAAATCTGAAACTCTGCCCCCATGAAACAGCCCTCCCCCGCCCCTGGGCAGGACCATCGTACTCTCTGTCTCTCTCTGATTCCAGCGACTTCGGATGCCTCAGGTAAGTGGAATCACACACATGGTCGTTGTTTCTTGGTGACTGGCTTCTTTCCCTCGGTGTCGTGTCTTCAAGCTTCATCCGTGCTGTAGCAGGTGCCAGGGTCTCCTGCTTCTAAAGGCTGAATGATACTCCCTTGGAACTACACACCACGTTCCGTGTGTCCCCTGGTGGACTCATGGCTTCCACCTACTGGCTACGTGAACAGTGCTGCTGGGGACGCAGGCATGCGGATAGCAGTCTGAGACCCTGCTTTCAGTTCTTCTGGCCATGTAACCAGTGCGGCATTCTTAGCTCACATGCAAGTTTTAGCTTTAATTTTTTGAGGAGCCTCCACACTGTTTTCTGTGAGAGCTGTATCAGTTCATAGTCCCACCAACAGCGCACGAGGGCTCCGATGCCCGCATACCCTCGCCAGGCACTTTTTAAAATTTTCTGGTTTGTTGTTGTTTTGTTTTTTACAGTAGCCATCCTACCGGGTATGGTCTTGTGATTTGCATTTCCTGATGATTAAGGATATTGACCATCTGTTCATGTGCTTCATCTTTAGAGAAATGTCTATTCAGGTCCTTGGTCCATTTTAAAATTGGGTTATTGGATTCTTGTTGAGTGGTCGAAGTTTTTTATATATTCTATACATTATCTCCTTACCAGATATAGGATTTGAAATTGTTTCTCCCATTCAGTAGGTTGCCTTTTTATTCTGTTGATGGTTTTAAGTTTGATGTCATTCCATTTGTCTATTTTTGCTTTTGTTGCCTGGGCATTGGTGTCATATCCAAGAGATCATTGCCAAGTCTGGTGTTATAAAATTTTCCCTTATGATTTCTTTTTCTTTTTTTTAAGATTTTATTTATTTATTTGACAGAGAGAGACACAGTGAGAGAGGGAACACAAGCAGGGGGAGTGGGAGAGGGAGCAGGGAGCCTGATGCGGGGCTCGATCCCAGGGCCCTGGGATCATGACCTGAGCCGAAGGCAACGCTTAACAACTGAGCCACCCAGGCGCCCCCCCCCTTATGCTTTCTTCTAAGAGTTTTATAGTTTTAGGTCTTATGTTTAGATCTTGAATCCATTTTGAGTTTATTTTTGTATTTGGTATAAGATAAGGGTCCAATTTTGTTCTTTTGCACGTAGATACCCAGTTTCCCCAGCACCATTTGTTAAAGACACTGTCCTTTCCCCATTGAGTGGTCTTTCCACCCTCACTAAAGATCATTTGACCATATATGTCTTAATTTTTGGGCTCTCTGTTCCATTCCATTGGTTTATTTATCTGTCTTTATGCCAGTGCCAGGCTGTTTTCTTTATTGCCGCTTCATAATATTGCTTGAAACCAAGATGTATGATGACTCCAACTTTGTTCTTTTTCAACATTGTTTTGGCTATTTGGAGTCCCTTGAGATTCCATATGAATCTCAGGAAGAATTTTTCTATTCCTGCAAAAAGTTCTATTGGGATTTTGTTAGGAATTGCATTGAATCTGTAGATTGCTTTGGGTTAGTATGGACATCTTAACAATATTAAGTCTGCCAATCCATGAACATGGTAAATGTATTCCATTCATCTGTGTTGTCTTCAATTTCTTTCAGCAGTGTTTTGTAGTTTTCAGTATATGCGTCTTTCACCTCCTTGGTTAGGCTATTCCTAAGTGTTTTATTCCTTTTACTGCCATTACAAATGGGATTGGTTTCTTAATTTCCTTTTCATATTATTTGTTGTTAATGTGTAGAAATGCATTCTATATGTTGTTAATGTATAGAAATGCATAATATAGAAATGCATCTGATGATGTATGTTGGTTTTGTATCTTGCAACTTTGCTATATTGGTTTACTAGCTCTAACAGTGTTTTCATGGACTCTTTAGAGTTTTCAACATGTGAGATCATGTCATCTGTGAACAAAGATAGTTTTACTTCTCCTTTCCAATTTGGATGGCTTTTCTTTCTTTCTCTAGTGCATTGGCTAGAACTTCCACACTAAAAACAAGTGGTGAGAGCCTTGCCTTGCTCGAGATCTTAGAGAAAAACTCAAGAGTTTCACCACTGAGTAGGATGTTAGCTGTGGGTTTTTCACAAATGACTTTTATTGTGTGGAGGTAGTTTCCTTCTGTTCCCAGTTTGTTGAGTGTTCTTAATTACTAAAGAGTTGAATCTTATCAAATGCTTTTTCTGCATCATTAAGATGGTCATGTGGTTTTGTCCTCATTCTGTTAATGTGCTTATTACATTGACTGATTTTCTTATATTGAAACAGCTTTGCATTCCAGGAATAAATTGCTTTTGGTCATGGTGTATAATCCTTTTACTATGCTATTGAATTTGGTTTGCTGTATTTTGTGGGGAATTTTGACATCTATAGTCATCAGAAATATCAGCCTGTAGTTTTCTTTTCTTGTAGAATCTTTGGCTTTGGTATCAGGGAAATGCTGAACAAGCTTAGAAGTATTCCCTCCTCATCATTTTTTTTTTTTCAAGAGTTTCAGGAAAATTTGTGTTTATTCTTTTTTTAAATGTTTGGTAGAGTTTTCCAGTGCAGCCATCTGGCCCAGCACTGTCATCCAGTGCAGAAAAGAACAATTTCTTTTCTCTGTTGGGAGATTTTTGCTTACTGAATCAATCTCCTTACAAGTTATAAGTCTGTTCAAATTTTCTATTTCTCCATGATTCAGTCTTGGTAGATTATACATTTCCACTTCTTCTAGGTTGTCCAATTTGTTGGCATATAACGTTTTGTAGTGTCTCCTATGATCCTTTTTATTTTTGTGGCATCAGTTTTAATGTTCCTGCTTTCATCTCTGATTTTAGTTATTTGAGTCTTCTTTTATTTTCTTGTTAATCTAGCTAACAGTTTGTCAATTTTGTTAATATTTTCAGAAAGCCAGCTATTAGTTTTGCTGATCTTTCTATTTTTTTAATGCTCTATTTTATTTGTTTGTGCTCCACTCTTTATTGTTTCCTTCCTTCTGCCAGCTTTGTGGTTGGTTAGCTTTTTTGCTAGTTCTTTGAGGTGTCAGGTTAGGTTATTTATTTGAGACCTGCTTTTTTAATGTATGCATTTATAAACTTCTCTCTTAGTACTGTTTTTGCTGTATCCCGTAAGTTTTGTTATATTGCGTTTTAATTTTTATTTGTTTCAAGATATTTTCTAATTTCCCTTGTAATTTCTTTGACCCACTGGTTACTTAAAAGTATGTTGTTTAATATCCAGATATTTTTGGATTTCTCATGTGATACTGATTTCTAGTTTCATTCTATTGTGGTCAGAAAAGCTACCTTATATGTCAATCATTGTGCTTACTGTTTCGCATAAGAAAAAATTGGAAACCCAACTCTCTAACTTGAGAGAGTGGTTACATAAGTTTTGGTCCATTCAAATATTGGAATGTTGTGCAGACATTAAAAAGTCTTAAGTATATTTATTGATGTAGGAAGCTACCTTTGACATGTTATTAATTTGGAAAAAAGTAAGTCTGTACAGCAAAGTCACCTCAAAGAATACACACGAATATTCCTATATGAATATGAATATATGTATAGAATGTATATATGGAGGCAAACTAGTGGAAGGACAACCCACAGAAATATTAATAGTGATTATCTCTAGATTGTGGAATTACAGGAGATTTATTTATTTCTTTTTGCTTATCTGTAGGTTGGAATGGTGTGTTTAATAAACACGTACTGCTTGTATAACTAGAAAAATGGAAGCTATTACATTTTTGTTGTTGTTGTTTCTTAAAATATACTGAGGATGTTTTTAGGCTTCCAAGTGCAGTGGACACCTCGTGGGCCGGCTTTTCTGCTGCGTGACCTTGTCTCCTGGTCACAGGTGGGTGGTTCAGGAGTAGAGTCCTGATGGCACTCAGACCCACCCTCCTGGAGACCTGGTGTCTGACCGTGAGGCCCAGGGCCTGAGAACTGCCAGATGTTGGGTGAACAGTGGTCGCTGGTTCGTCTCACGTTGGTGCTCGGTTATTCACATTTTCCTTGCTGTTTTCTGAGATACCCCAGAATCCTTCTAGACATTTTAATTTTTATTTTGGTTTAAGATATTGAGTCATTGTTGTCCATTTTTGGCAAGCCAAAGAATCTTGATAAACTCACAAGAGCATTTATTAACTCAACATTCATTTACCAAACATCTACTTTATACCAGGCTTTGGTACAAGTAGAAACAAACAACAAAACAAAACTCTCCAAATGTCTGGTATCCGCCAGAGCAATTCTTTGATATTTCCATTCTGACTTAAGTCTTTGCTAATAGTCTCAGAACCACCACCTTTTCTCCCTCAGTGAGAATGTCAGACCACCTTTAGCTTTCTATTTTTTGTGATTTAAAATTACAACACAGCACAACAATGTCAACGTACTTCATGCCACTGAAGTGGATGCTTACAAATGATGAAGAAGGTAAATTCTATGTTATGTGTATTTTACCACAGTTAAAAAAAATGAATATACTTAAAACTGTATGACACAGGGGGATTTGAACAGATTCCACATGTGGTGATTTCTGCCTAATCATTTTGCACAAGCATGGTTTTTGTGGTTCAAATTTTCCAGGAATTTTCCTAAGACACTGCAGGTGACTAGAGTAATACAACCTGTCTTCATTTAGCAGCCCATCTCCCAAATAAAACCACCAAAAATCTGAAAGTAAAAAACTCTTATGGAAAGATTTCAGAATGAAGGAACTGCATTTAATATTCCAGTGGGTTTTATTTAAATTCATTTTTTGTTTGTCTTCAGAATGTGTGTTAGATGATGAGGAAATCGTAGACATCTTAAGAAAAGCCAAAATGACTTCAAATGAAATTTCAAAGCGCATCAAAGCAACAGAAAAAGCGGAAAGTCAAATCCAAGAGATGTGCAAGAGCTATCTCCCCATTGCTACCCAAGGTGCCCTGCTCTACTTCCTTGTGGCCGGGCTCGCCCAGGTCAACTGCATGTACCAGTTCTCCCTAGACTGGTTTCGCCAAGCGTTCATTTAAGCAGTAGTCTCCGGAAGCAAAGAACAAGAAGAACCTGGCTCCAAAAGGGAGAAGATGTCTCTGAAGAAAATTCATGATACTACAAACCTCTCAAAAGAACCGAAGTTAGAAAGTGAGGGAAATCTCTTCCAGAGAGTCCACATTTGAACAGTGGAATCAGTTCAAATCCTCCTGTGCTGTACAATTTTAAGTATATTTATTTTTTTTAATTGTGGTAAAATACACATAACATAGAATATACCTTCTTCACCATTTTTAAGCGTCAGTTCAGTGGCATGAAGTACGTTGACGTTGTTCTGCTGTGTTGTAAATTTAAGTCACAAAAAATATATGTGAATAACCGAGCACCAACGTGAGATGAACCAGCAACCATTGTTAACCCAACATCTGGCAGTTCTCAGGCCCTGGGCCTCACGGTCAGACACCGGGTCTCCAGGAGGGTGGGTCTGAGTGCCATCAGGACTCTATTCCTGAACCACCCACCTGTGACCAGGAGACAAGGTCACACAGCAGAAAAGCCGGCCCACGAGGTGTCCACTGCACTTGGAAGCCTAAAAATATCACTCCAGGTGGTATTTAATCAATGTGTGTGTGCACGTGTGTGCTTGTGCACACACACGCGTGTCCCTAAGGTCTAGCATTGGGCGTTCAGCTTTACAGATCAGGATTACAATAACCATAGCAAATGCCATTCACTCATTCATTTAGAAATTACTGAGTACCAATTATGTGCTCAACATATAAGGACACAGCAATGAATTAAACATCACACCTGACCTCAGCTGCTTTTAGTTTAACCCATATAGAAGCACCGACTTGGAGCACCTTAAAAATCTCTCCATGTTTTTCAGGGAAACATGTTTTTAATGGCTTTTAATGGAACCCAGAGCAGTACCTTTTACTTACTATTAAGTTTGACCTGGGGCATCACACCTTTAATATTTATCAACATGCCAGAATGTAGGAAGAGGTCCCATTCTTCATCTGGTAGGGACCCGATGTCATCACCATTAGTGTTATTTTGCATGATTGTGATGCAGAGCCGGAAGGAGAAGCACAGTTTATGTTGGTTAAATAGAGCGGAAGAGACCACCTAGGGGGGAAATGGAGAGTTAGACCAGACCGCCTAGATTAAATACATATGCAAAATTCACATGCAAGGATGTCTCACCTTAAAAATACTTCTTGTCAACACATCGATTGAATTTTCAAGATGTCTCTGGAAGAGATTTCCCTCACTTTCTAACTTCGGTTCTTTTGAGAGGTTTGTAGTATCACGAATTTTCTTCAGAGACATCTTCTCCCTTTTGGAGCTGGGTTCTTCTTGTTCTTTGCTTACAGAGACTACTGCTTGAATGAACGCTTGGCGAAACCAGTCTAGGGAGAACTGGTACATGCAGTTGACCTGGGCGAGCCTGGCCACAAGGAAGTAGAGCAGGGCACCTCGGGTAGCAATGGGGAGATAGCTCTTGCGCGTCTCTTGGATTTGACTTTCCGCTTTTTCTGTTGCTTTGATGCGCTTTGAAATTTCATTTGAAGTCATTTTGGCTTTTCTTAAGATGTCTACGATTTCCTCATCATCTAACACACATTCTGAAGACAAACAAAAAATGAATTTAAATAAAACCCACTGGAATATTTTTTTTGAATGAATAAAAAAGTTTCATTTACTTATTTATTTAAATTGTATTATGTTAGTCACCATACAATACATCATTAGTTTTTGATGTGGTGATCCACGATCCATTGTTTTCATATAACACCCAGTGCTCCATGCAGTACGTGCCCTCCTTAATACTGATCACCGGGCTAACCAATCCCCCCTCCCCCCTCCGCTCTAAAACCCTGTTTGTCTTTCAGAGTCCATAGTCTCTCATGGTTCATCTCTCCCTCCAATTCCCCCCCC